TCTCATATATCCATGCAGACAGTGTAAAAAAAAAGACAGGTGGCTTAAACCCTCAAATTTGAGGGACCTCATTTTTAATAATAATAAGTTACTATAAGTTTTTTTTTAATAAATATTGAATACTATTTGTAGAAAAAGTAAACCTTTCAAGAAAAATGAAGGAATTATTAAAAGAATTTTGACATATTTAAAGTACTATACCTCATGAAAAATAATTTAAAATAAGAATGGTTATATTATCAATTAAAAACTAGAAGAAATCAATTGTATAAAAGTTATTAACAATTTAAGTTTAAGGCCCTATTTGATTTTTGCTTTAAGTCACTAATATCTTGAGTCGCTCCTACCAGGCATGAAAACAATTATTGGCGGTTGAATCAAGGGCATAGCTATGTTATAGTCAAAATGCAATTGGACACTCATCAACAAATAATAATATCATATATATAAATAATTAAATATGTTATAAACAATTTGTATTATAGTGAATGTCTAATTATATGGAGTCCTTGTAGGATATGATTAGGATTCCTACTTGGGGACCAAGTAAGGTTTTCCCTATAAATAAAGGGTTTTCCTTCATTGTAAATAAGATTTGTGAAAGATCTATGAATCCTGAATATACTTCAAGAGAAATAAGAAGTCTTTTCTCTTCTCCCTACTTTTGTCTTCTTCTAAATTTATATAGTTTCATAACACGTTATCAGCACAATTGTTCTATTCTTAAAGAATGATGAAGAAGACGGGAAAGTACAAAAGAGATCTTGCATAAGTTATGCAATAAGGTTCTTATATCTTCAAAGTATGATTTATCTTTATGTCATAATTATTCATCTAACAGATCTGGATGTACCATCTAAAGTAAGTATTTAAAGAGACTTGTCGACTTTCTATACATTTAATTTTAATCGACTGCGAAGAGAATTCCTTAATTTATTTTAATAATTAAATAAGCACAATTTAGTGAAAGGTATATTTTCAACCTTTATATGAGGTATGTGATCTATTAAGCTATATTTATTAACTACTAATGTTGATTATAATAAATCAATAATCTCAATTTTGTGTGTAATTATAATGTACGATCATATTAATGATCATCAAAAGTGATAAAATTAAAATTACTTTGAAGACTTGAGGTTGAGCCTCATTATGGGTAAGACGATAGATTTAAGTTTTATTGCACCAAAAGAATAAGATGATGGATTTATGTCCAATCGCAAAACGAGGTAAGATGTTGGATTAAAGTCCTGATGCACCATGATGATAAGATACTGAGTTCAAGATCCATCGATTTATGACCTAAGACATTTTTATATGGATAAGACATTGAATGTTAGTCTCAATGCACCATATTAATGATATAATAATGACTAAAGGGAAACTAATGTGTTTTTTATGAGAAATCATGAAATTTACTGAATTTGCTCAATTACGTAAAGTGAATGTGGTTGTAGTGCATAATATATCTGAAAGAAGACAAGTGATTGAATAATGCACATAGATATGGAATGAGGTACTAAAGTTATCATTATTTGATATGCTCACATATTTGTGTTTCATTCATGAAGAATGAAAACTTTTGATAAATGCTAAAAATATAGATTCATTCTCTAAAAGGAATGAGGTGTAAGTCACCATGCTAGGCATGAGAAAGATTGCGATCTTTGATTAACGATGTGGTATCATCAAGAATGTCTCTAAGAAGACATGTATTATAGAAACGTTTTATACTTTATCTTCAGGCTTGTATTGGACAAGAATTAGTTCAATTGAGACACATTCTATTATAAATAAGAAGTTTTCTAATTTCAATACTTTCTTAATTTGGCGTGATTGTTTGAGACATCATTAGTCTATAATGTTTAGACGAATTGTGAAAAATTAAAATGGAAATCCGTTGAAGAACCTAAAAATTCTTTTAAATGGTGAGTTTTATTTTAATGATTGTTAGCAAGGCAAGCTAATTGTGAGACCATCATAAACAAAAGTTAAGATTGAATTCTCTGCGTTCTAGGAACGTATACAAATATTTGTGGACCTAGTCATCCGCCTAGTGGATTGTTTAGACATTTAATGGTCCTAATAAATGTTTCTTCTATATGGTCTCATGTATGCCTATTATTATCTTGCAACTTGATGTTTGCAAAAATGTTGGCACAAATAATATGTTACATGCACAATTTTCTTCAAATTAGTTCATTCAATGATGGGATCATGACTCACCTAAAGGGTGAAGTAATTGAGAAAAAATAAATCTGAAAATTACTCTTGGATTAATAAAATTGAAATTTACTCATATAATAGTAAATCAAAAATTTACTAAAGCAAAAGGCACATGACGTAGTAAACTTGGAGTTTACGAGCACTAACAATTTTATTAGTTGGCATGAATAATTTGGTCATCCCAAAGATGTGCATACTGAGTAATGGACATACATTGAAAAACTAGAAGATTCTTTAAGAATTCTTTACGTTGCTTGTTCTCGTGATAAAGTTGATTGGATCAACTAATGTTGAGACTAAATCCCTAAATTCTGAAAAGTATAAAAGGTGAATATGGGTCTGTTCACCTATCATGTGATATGATAAAAAGATGTATCTATAAGATAATTACATGTATTTTTGTTGTCAACATGTAGTTTGACATTCAAAAAATTGTTTGTGCAAAAATAATTGAGTCAAGAGCACAATTTAAGAATATGTAATCAAGACAATTTATCTTGATAATATTGATAAATACTCAAGATGATGTGACACTAAATGTCTCAAATAGTTAAATAATTGTTTATGAAAATAAAGCTTCATATGTTTGTATGAAATTCGATATTGTATACAAAAGTAATTGTATGCATCAGACCGATAAATTATGATAAAATTTTCTTTCAATTGATTTATGATCGGGGATCAAATATTTTTCATCTGATTATTTTGATATGTGGTATATAATCATGAATATGCATTGATGCATAAGGATAGATTCTCCAAAGATTGAGATATATGTTAGTTTGTCTAACATAAGGGGGAGACTAGAAGCAACACAAAAATTGTAAATACTCCTATTGAATGCCCCTTAAAGATAGAGTCTACGACATGCATGAAGCATGATAGGCTAATCAATTCTAAATACAATAATCCTTGAAAAGGGGGGAGGATCAAAGAATCAAAATGATCATAATAAAGAGACAATATGATCTTGGAGAGCCTACGACATAACACTTTATAAAACCTCATGAGAGGGGTAGCTACATAAAAATAATGAAGTGATGAGATCTCAATAAGTTTTATCGTATTGTGAATCGATACAAAATGGTATATCGTTGACGATATCTTTGATACAATAGTGCGCAATATTGTAAAAGATTATGAGGATATGAATTCTACATCTATTAAAGCATGCTTGTGTAGAAATAATTATCAAGTGAAAAATGGAATAATGCATCTTGGTAAGCGTAAAACTTATTTGCTTGCAATCTAGGCACTAAAAGATGTCATACATCTAATATTAAATGTTGTTACTTGACGAAATTGATATGAAAATATCCAATGGGTTCAAAATCTAAAGCATATACAAGTTTTTGGAAAACTTGTTTATCATCTTCATAAGGATTAAATAGGTTCAAAATGCATAGAGCATATACAAGTATTATTATGCAAGTTGACGACTAGAATTAAAACTCTTGAAGAGTTTTCAAAAGGCAATAGATTATTTGTTTAAAGAAGTAGAAGTAAGAAACTTGCAAAAATCTTTGATCCTGAAGAAAATATTCATAAAAGCAGATAGAAGAAAATATATTTCATCAAGGTTTTTCTACACTCATAAGCTCCCAAGAATGGTGATATCAACATGCAAGAGGTCTGTTCAAGTAATATTATTGTTGATTTATTCACTAAGTCTCTACCAACTACAATTTTCAAGAAGATGATGCACAAGCTTGGAAAACTAAGAAAATAGTCTCTGAATTGATGTTGTCATTAGGGGGAGTTAATACGCAATATACTCTTTTTTCCTCACAAGGTTTTGTCCCACTGAATTTTCCTTGTAAGATTTTTAATGAGACATCCATAACGCGTATTATTAGATATGCGTTCTCTTTTTTCTTCACTAGATTTTTTCCTAGTGGATTTTATCTAGTAAGGTTTTAACGAGGCACATAATCTACCGATATTCAAGGGGGGAATGTTATAATCAATTTGTATTATAGTGAATGTCTAATTATGTGGAGTCCTTGTAGGATATGGTTAGGAATCCTACTTGGGGACCAAGTAATATTTTTCGTATGAATAAAGGGTTTTTATTCATTGTAAATAAGATTTTTGAAAGATATATGAATCCTGAATATACTTCAAAAGAAATAAAGAGTCTTTTTTCTTCTTCCTACTTTCTTCTACTTTTAAGTCTATATAGTTTCATAACAAAATAACATTTTTTAAATATTTTTAACATAACAAAGTGCTCCGCAACATGGTTGAGTGAATACTTGTTGTGACCATACGCACAGGTCTACCTCGGCGTCCATAGGATTAACAACGCATCTTAATCTTAAAGTAGTTATTTATAGGCATATTTGTCAAAATAATGAAAGCGCCATAGTTGACTGACACATAAAATGACTAACCATGGGGCCATAAATAATCCCCAAAAAATATAGAAAGATCAAATACTAATTAATTAGAATTTCTATAATTGGAGAAATCTCTTTTGTCAACTCATGTATCTTGGTTGAGTAATTTTAAATATGCTATAGACAATATTATATGAAAGGCATAATATATATATTATATTTTAAACTTAGTTTTAAATTTTAATTTTTAAATAAATAAACACATGAGTTTTACGTGACACAATAAAGATAAAAAAATGACATGTAGCCGTCCCCTTGTAATTACAATAGATCTTATTTGAGTCACTTTCAACTTTTGCCATCACATTTGACCGCAGAGAACTTGGACTATGCTATTTTACAAACGTATCTTCATGTCAACTAGCTTCAGTGCAGCTAATAAATTGATAGACTATATCTGTGAACAATTGACCCAATTTCTATCAATTCACAATATTTAAAATCTTAAGAAGAAATTGAAGGGATGGCACAAATTGGAGATGGAAGATGGTCTCTTCATGGCATGACTGCCCTTGTTACTGGTGGCACTAGGGGCATTGGGTAAGCAACATAATTAATTTCGACCTAGTTTTTTCCTCTGTTTTTTGTTTATTTATTAAATTATACATTCCTATTTAGGTATGCCATAGTTGAAGAATTAGCGAGTTTTGGTGCATCGATCTATACATGTTCTCGCAATAAAAAGGACTTAGATGAATGTTTAGAGAAATGGCAAACGAAAGGTTATAAAGTAAATGGTTCTACATGTGACTTGTTCTTAGAAGATCAAAGAATCGAGTTGATTGGCAAAGCCACTCAACATTTCAATGGGGAACTTGACATCCTTGTAAGTTATATATCTACGCTGACAATGTAAATGAAATTTGAGTGATGATAATATAGTTAGTTGTTTTTATGTTTTAGGTAAATAATGCTGCTATATGTGTACCAAAAGAGACAACACAAATTACTTCAGCAGATTGTTCACTAATGATGGGAACCAATTTTGAAGCTTCATATAACTTGTGTCAATTAGCATATCCTTTTCTGAAAGGTTCTGGGAAGGCTAGCGTTGTGTTCATCTCTTCTATCTCTGGGATCATGGCTATCCCTTTTGTTTCTCTCTATGCAGCAACAAAAGGTTTCATCTCTTGTTTTTATACGAAGTTTCTATAGTCATACAAATGTTACTAATACCACATGTTTCATAAGTCATTAGTGATTTGGTTCACAAAAACATTGTGTTTTACAATTATTCAATCAAAATAACAAACACTAAATTTACTACTTACTTTACTAACCATTCATTTTGATTTGATCTACTTTTGTTTAGGAGCAATAAATCAATTAACGAAGAACTTGGCCTGCGAATGGGGTAAAGATAATATTCGAGTTAATGCTGTTGCACCTTGGATTATTGATACCGCCCTTACAGATACTGTAGCTGTAAGTATCTTTTTCTTTTTATATAAAAAAGAAAATAGTTTGATATACTCCTCAACTCTGTGATTTGGAACTGTCATTTGACTACACAAATGACTCAGATATACCGTAACTTATGTTTTGTAGGAAGATTTTGAGTCATCAGATGTGGAGAAGTTAATAAAGAGAACTCCAATTAGCAGGATGGGAAAGCCAAATGAAGTGTCATCACTTGTGGCTTATTTATGTTTTCCAGCTGCTGCTTATATAACTGGCCAAATCATTTGTGTTGATGGTGGAAAAACTGTTTCTGGATTTCCATGATTAATTACTTACTTACATGTTTAAACTTTCTATTCAATTGGGGAAAGGATCATAAATCATAATAATTGTCAATTTTACAAAGCAGTCAAACGTCAAACTTTTTTTTGGGGGGTCTTCGTATGTCGTTATGGTATGATTGTATTTACATACTTTACGGAGTTTTATTTATGGGACATTCCCTTAGGTTCCAAAGGTTCGGAAACGTATTAAGGAACTTATATCTCGTGTTTGGATGATTATATGCAAATTTAGTGGTGTTTTGAATCGAATTTCAAACTGAACGTTGAGGCTGAAAAAGATAGTCTTATCTATGTCACGTGTATTACACTATGTCACTTGCATATCATTTATATGTCATATGTATATTATCTATGTAAAATATTGATGCTCATAACAATATGCATACGATATTCATTGATATACAATTATGATACATAGATATATGGGTGATAGACACTGCCAACTATCACTAAAATCACCACTAATCTCCAACAAATCACTCCAATTGAATATGTTATCTCCCTTAAAGTGTACATAGTAAAAAATAATTCCAAAATCTCATATCCAAAAATTCAAATCTCGAATGTTCATCAATGAAGTTATGTGGCATTTCTTTATGACTTAGTTTTCTAATTAGTATTCGCACAATTAGTGATTGATTTGTGTTTTCAGCTTCGAATAATGTTATTCAACTTAGTTGCAAATAAATACTTGAATCACTCTTTTCCGATGACGTAGCGGCAAACATGGATTTACACATTCACCCTTCAAATTTAGCAATTGAATTTGAATTATAATTTACACCAACATGCAATAGTGTTAACGTTCGATTTTTCAAGCTCAATGACTGAAAGACCAACTGATTCATTCTCATTGGTGTTACTTGGGCTAAGCATTATCAATATTTGGGAGGAATGGACATGTAAGTATACAATCTTAAATCTTAAATCTTAATAGAATTGACAACTATTAACCTACAATATGTTAGCAAAATCTAGGCCTAAAGTATCAACAAAATTTGGTCCAAGAGAGTTAAAAAAAAAGGAAAAATTATATGGAATGGCAAACATTCCTAAGTAATTATATAATAGGGGTATAGTTTAATTTATTTACTTTCTATGATTATAGTTTTTTTTTTGCTATAATTAATGGGGTCCACCACCTATTATATAATCAATAGTATAAAAACCTTTTTTTTTAAAATTTTGTATATAATTTTACACAAAATAATATTATCTCTCCTATTCATATTCCACCTTTTTCTCCTACAATTAATACCTCTATCCGATTTGAATTTCAAATTGTCCAAAATTCAATTACTCCCTCCCGAAGTTGAATTCAATTTTCGTAGGTACTCCTAAATTTTAGTCGTTTTCCTTTTTTTTTTCTTATTCAAAAATTGTATATGTATTATGTTTCTTATGTTTTTTCATATTTTTTTGATGAAATAATCGATTGTTTGTTCTTATTAGATCTCAAATTAGTCACAGAATGAATGAATCATCTTCATCTATGAGGATTACCAGAGGTATTTCATTGCATGTCAATTTTGTTGACAATTTACCATCTTTTACAATGGGTTTAACTCAAGATTTTGGGGTTGATGTAGGGTCTATGGTAAAATCAAAACAAGTTCAACATGAACAAACAATGGAAGAATTGAGATCAAACAAAAATTATTACCCTACGATAGTTCAAGAAGTTATTAACAATGCTAAAGCTAGAGGCATTAAAATTGTACAAAGAGGAAGAAAGAGGAAAGCAGTAAACATTGATTCAGAGGAAAATGCATGTGAAGTTGACGGATCTGAAGAACATCATAATCATGAGGTAGTGGCTTAAAACACAAATTTAGATACAATTTTTTTGTTACTTAGATGTCAATATACAAAAAATTATTGTTTAAGTAAATTTTGTATTCACGTAATTGTATATAGTATATTGCATGTTTAGTACACACATGTTTTAGTTATACATTTGTATATGTGTCTGTAGATTTGGTTACTTTATACATACTTTAAGTTATGTATAATGAATAGTATACTAAGTCTTAATAGTGGTAGTAGCAGATTGTATATTAAAGGCTCATTATTATTTTTGTTTTTGTATATATATACAAAAAGTGATTGGACTTAGTTATACAGATGAAAAAATTTCATATATGATTATAATTTGTATATTTTATTAGTTATATACAAATTATTGAAGTTAGTATATATTAAGTTTATATACATATACAAAAATTGTAATTTGTATATTTTAATAGTTATATACAAATTATTGAAGTTAGTATATATTAAATTTATATATTATTGGAGTATATACAAAGTCATTTAGACAGTTGTATATATTGCCATGTTTAACTACTATATTCATGTACATATATTAATATACAAAAAAGGTAAGTTTGTAGACATATACAAAAAATTAATCTGTACATGACTTCTTTTAAAATTGACTGTTTTTGTATATATTATACAATCAAATTACTGAATTGTTTTTACAGTTATATTCTTTTTAGTATACAAATACTACATAAAAAAAGTATATAATTGTATCAAAAGCAAAACACTTATTTTATGGCTATATACAATTATCACCAACGATTACCTGTATTCGCTTACACTGATCTTCTTTATAATATAAAAATACTACATTAACAAAAAGTATATAATTGTATAGTACGAAATTTCTGCTTAAAATAATCATATTTTGAAATTAGTTTTTAAAAAAAAATAAAATAAATTATGACACCACAATAAGGAACGCAGATAAATCAAAATTTGTAAATCCAGTAGAACATTGTATAATTATTTCAATATTAAACATGAATTTTCATCCAATGAACACTTACCTGAATTCGATTACAAAGAAGAATAAAAAAAATTGATGAACTGCTGTTCCATAAACAGCAAAAACAAGTTTATCTTTTGTTTCGATTGCTGTATAATTCTTATTTTTTTGAAAAAAATAATTTGAATTTGAACGTTTACCTTAAAAAAGGGACGTTTACCTTAAATTATGGCATTATGTATATTTATTGTTAGCATATTTAACGCTTCAGTTACAAATCACTTTTTAAAATAAAATTGTATAAATAAAAAACAAAGAAACCTTATATACAAAATTAAAGATACCTAAAATAACTAAACTATACCCATAGAATGTAATTAGGTAAACTATACCCATATAATGTTATTTAATCAAATAAGTTTGCCATATATGAAATTTTCCCTTAAAAAAATGATTGATTTTTTAGAAAATTTTAGAAATAGCAAACATAATAGATATAACAAGGATTTATAGCTATAGTTTTTATAATTGCACTCCATATTCATAGTTTCATTAGCTATGGAGATTGCGATTTGTATATTCCTACCTGTTTGAATATTTTCATTGCTAATATACAAATAAGATAAGTATATACATATTCTGCTTATACATACACTTTTTCAGAACTTTATTTGTCAATATACAAACAAGGTAATTTGTTATGAATTTTTCATAAATAGTATACAAATAGTTAGAGTAAACATATTCAAAATTCTAGATTTATACAATCAAGATTCGAATAAAAAAGTGAATTATAATATCTTTAAACCATTACTATAGTACCTGATATATGCTAAATGTTTGTTATTTCGTATGATTTTCTCTTGTTTTTATGGTAGTAAAATTTTCATCAGTGCTTTTAACCGGCACAATTTTAAGGATTTAATATCCCCACTTCCTGTGATAACTTATACTTATAAAATACTATAAATTAAGGAGGAAAATATAGATACATGTAGCATATCAATTTTTTTATGAATACATTAATGAGAAAATTGTATAAAATAGCAGATTATTAATTTAAATTAAATATTATAATCATAGTTTTATTTAATTCTAATCAATAACAATCACTTTGTCATTGCCTCTCTCCCTAGATTTCTCGTTTGTCACTCTCCTGATCTCGCTCGCAAGTCTCTCTCGCCTTTTTCACTTTAAACAAGCACAAATGTATAAATTCTGTTTATGTTTGTAAAAAAGTGAGAGAACATGCATATATATACATATTTTTTCGTTCGCCTCTCTCCCCAAAGAATCTCACTCGCCACTCTCCAGATCTCCCTCACTACTCTCCCAGATATTGCTCGCCACTCTCCTCGCCTCTCTCACTTTATAAAAACACTAATGTACAAATTGTATTTGTGTTTGTATCAAGCGAAAAAAAAATTGTATATAGAAATACAAATACATATATTTTTATCTTATACATGCACTTATAATTATATAAATACAAATATTTCTCTATCTCAACCTCTTTCTCTTTCTCATTTTATACAAGCACAAATTATACAAATTACAACGTATAATTTGCGTTATATAAAGCGAACGAGTGATTTGATATACAAATAATTTATTTCGATTCAATTATATACATTCAAATTTTATGCAGATATACAAACACAATCATTGATACATAAACATAATAATTACATATATACAATTATTTAACTGATATATATACAATCGCTGCGCTTTTATACAAACGAGAGGCCTGTCAAAAATGTACACAAATCTGGTACTCTATAGCAAACATATATTGTGATAATTTTTATTTGATTGGATTTTTTTTAAAGATGTGTTGTGTCTGGAACGCTTCTGGCTTGTATATATTATTGAGGTCTGAATTTGTGTTAAATGGTTGTAGTGATTTTTCGTGCGACGATACAAGTTTATCTCATAAAATATAAGTGATGCACTAATACATTAAAATATAGTAAAAATTTTGGATTTTACACTGATATAACATGGATTTCAGAGTGGTTACTCAATTAATAAATTTATTACTATATTTGATAAATAGACATAAAAAAATTGTTTTTTTTCTGCTAAGAGTTGGAGAAAAAAAAATTAGATGCTTGATCATGCAACACGTTTACCATACAACTATTTACTAAGGATGTAACGCTGAGTCAGAATTTTGAAGAGAACTAATAGAGTTGCACCAACAAAAAAGTCTTATTTGAGAAAAAATTGACACGAAGTGTGATTGTAGTCTTTTCTAAAAAGATGATTCATCAACTGAAATCTAGTTATATTTCATTTTCAAGAATGTTACAACTACAGTCTACTAATTTTAAATATTATCATGTCAAAGCTTTCAACCATACTCCACTAAGGTAAGAAAATTCCACATTTTTATTTTATGGGTTCTAAAAATTTTAGAATTAATAGCTTAATGAGCTCAGGATACTTATTTGAAAAATATTAAATAATTTTT